AATTGCTATTGATTATTTTCACTAATCTTCAAATAATATCAAATATATTTATCTGTATTTATTTTTATTATTCAAACATATATATATATATCTATGTCTAATTTTATTCTTTGTTTTTTATACAACCATATCTAACATAATCTTCATTGAATACATATATAAAAAAATATTTTTTCTGTTTTTCTACACATACAAATGAATCTGATAGTATCCGACAAAAAAAAATAGACGTATATACAGTTATATTCACTAAATGAGAAAATGAATTATTTTTTTAAACAATTGTAATTGTTGTACGTTGTTGATTAACATGCCATAAACCCATTTCTTCATAACGGTCAAGCGCATCATCAAATGTATCTGGTTTAAGACCTTTTGCAATACAACGTTCTTTAGCTTCAGCATAACGAACAATTTTAGCACCTGATGATGGTACCATATCGCGTACAATAGAAAATACTTGATCAATTGGATTTATTTGTCTAATAAACGTAAAAAATAAAATCGTTAAAGAAATAAAAGAAGAATAGAAATTTTCTTTTCAAACCTTGTTGGTACATTTTCATGATCTTTCAAAAGTAATCGGGATGATTCCATTAAACGAAGTGCTTCATCAATATCATCTTTTGATACAAGATCACCACAACGAAGACGAGCAAGTGCAGTTGATAAACGAAGTATTGATAAAAGCATTCTTGCTGATGTATATGTCATATCTTTACTAATACGTGCTTGTTTACGTAATTCAACATAAGCCGTAACAACATAATCAAGTAATGATTCAGGTACTAATGGTTGTTTCTTTTTACATGTTGCAATATATCGTCTAAAGAAAAAGAATGACATAAAAGTACCAAACATTTTAAAATTTATTACCGTAATGTTTTCATATCAACAAAATGTTGATTATTTTCAAGTTCTGGTTGACATCCAGTTTGATGTACAGATGCAATATGACGAGCTAACTTAAGATCTACTTCACGATCATTCTTATCTTGAATTATCCAAAGTAAATCAAAACGTGATAAGAGTGCTGCTGGTAATTGAATATTAGCTTCAATTGAACGTTTTGGATTATAACGACCATAGGCAGGATTAGCAGCAGCTAAGATTGATGTACGAGCATTTAATGATGTTAATATACCTGCCTACAATAAATATTTCAGAGTTTTGTTTTGCAATACAATAACAATTTTGTTTTATGAGTTACTTTAGCAATAGAAATTGTTTGTTGTTCCATAACTTCATAGATAGCCGTTCGATCATGTTCAGTCATCTTATCAAATTCATCAATACAGCAAACACCTTGATCAGCTAAGACTAAGGCACCACCTTCGAGTACAAGTTCATCTGAAAACGAAAGTATAGTTATACCAATAATAAATCATTATATGTTCGTTTTTATTTACTTGTAATGGGATCTTTAATAAGTGCTGATGTTAAACCAACACCAGATGAACCACGACCAGTTGTATATTGACTACGTTGTGCTAAACGATTGACATAACTTAATAATTGTGATTTAGCTACACCAGGATCACCCATAAGACAAACATTGATATTGCCTAAAAAGAAATATTATCAAATAATTGTTGACGATGAGCATGAATCCAAATCAACAACAAAACTGTTAAACAAAAATTACGAAAAATACGCCAAACAATTATATATCTATAAAACACATATAATCATTTCTCTTCTATCATTTAGAGATATGCATCATTATCCTACCCTATGTTGAATTCTCAAAATCCCACATGATTTCAAAACCTATCAATTTTTATTCTTTCTGTTTCTCTACTATTTTATTTCTTCAGTTGAAGTATGTTTTCTCATCAATGTATTCAAAGTAAAATGCAAGCAAATGATTTGAAACAAATTAGAATTATTAACGTAAAAAATTTTAATATAATTGACATACCTCGAACTTTCATTCCTTGTGGTGATTTATCAATTCCTCCAACAAGTAAAAGAAGTAAAGCTTTTTTAATATCTTCATGTCCATATATTTCAGGTGCAATACTCATTGCCAATCGATCATATAAATCTTTTTCTAAATAAATACGAAAAAAATTTCAATGAAATACTTCTTTTCTATATTTAAAACAAACCAGCAAAAAGATCAGCTAATTCAACTTCATTCATTTCTTTATCTTCAATTTCTTCATCTTCACTTTTATTTAATAGAATAATTCTCTTAAATAAACAGAAGAATAAATTTTAAGAAAATTCTTTCATAATGACTTACATGTGCTTCGAGAAAAGTATCCGATAAAAGACCTTGTGTCATTTGACGAAAACCCGTACGAAGCAATGGTAAAAATATTCCAGTGACAGCAACATGATCACCTGGTTGACATAAACGTGTATTTGTTCCACGACACCATATTGTCATAGAACGTGGAATATTTCCAATGGGGACTTGATCAGTCTAGAAACATAAATTTCATACATTCCTTTTTTTTTTTAGTCGCTCAATAAAATTTACATGTTCTTGAATTTTAATTTCTTGAAATTTAATAAATTTTGAACCACGTGTTTGTAATGATAAACGGCCACCGGATTTATTAGTTACACAATCTTGGCTTGGACACATAACAAGTGGCATAAATGTCGG